TATCACGTTTTACAGTTCCTTATATACTTTTACAAAAGTAGAGCATTTTGGTGGGGGGGTATTCAGTGGTAGAGTGCATGCTTAGCATGTGTCAGGTCCTAGGTTCAGTCCCCAGTGCCTCCTCTAAAAATGAATGAGTACACCTAATTGCCTCTCCCCTCAAAGAAACAAAAAAATTTTTAAAAATCTAATTGCCTCCCCTCTAAAAAAATAAATAAGCATTCTTATTAAAAGGTTGTTATTGTTATTATTTTCTCCAGTACATTTGTCTCTGTGTATTGAAGAGCCTAGTATTTTGTGACCAAATGATAGTATGCTAATTTTTTTCCAGTGATTTAGAGTAAGAATTTAGGTATTACCAGTGATTTGTCACATATGTGTATGGTAAAAACTTTTTATTAAAGAAACCAATCTGATTGGACACTATCATGACAGATAAACAAATTTGGATGGGAAATAAGCCAAAGTGTTATGAAATTGTGTGTGATTCTATCAGATAAGCATGTGTATATATATCCCATGAGGTTGATCTAAGTCATACATTTCAGGGAGCCAAATTTGAGTTATTACGGTATTAACTAAGATTTGTAGGCCTCTCAGTTGAATACTTAGAATTTTTTGTTTTGCTGAATTCTCACATACAGATCTCACAATTTTTTATGTTTTCTATGTAATGGTCCAGGGTACCTATTTACTAAAACTTGAACATTGGAAATTCTGACAGAAAAAGAAAATGAAAATGTTGGCACTTTGACCATAGTTTTGGTTATAGAGATAAGTCATGTGCTATAGAATTCTATTACAAATAAAATTTTTTTTCCTCTCAAGATTTACAAAGTTCTAAAGGGGTGATGGTGCAATTAACATTTTTTTAACTACCCAGTTACAGACTAAACTCTTTTCCACTGTCTCCAGAAACATCTATGACCTGGTCCTAACTTGGTTTTCAACCTTAAGTTTTTTGAACTTACCTCAGGCTTGAAGTGTTCTAATTGTCTTTTATTGTTCAGTCTGCCTTGCACATAGTAAACTATCAGAAAAGTTGCAATAATTGGGAAACGTTCCTTAGCACATTTTTTTCCATTTAGCTTTACTGGTTGTCTTCATCTCTTTACAACAGAATATCACAGACTGGGTAGCTTATCAACAGCAAAAATTGTTTGCCCACTGTTGGAAGTCCAAGATTTAGACACCAACATGGTCACCTTCTGGTGAAAGGTCCCATTTCCTGTTTTACAGCTTCTTGCTGTGTCCTCACTGCAGTGGGAGGGGGCTTGGAGGTCTCTCTGGTGTCCCCCTTCCTTTTTTTTTTTTTTTTATTTTAAGTCAGAGGTACTGAGGATTGAACCCAGGACCTCACACATGCTAAGTATGTGTTCTACCACTGAGCTCTACCCACCCACCCTCTCGGAGCTTCTTTTAATAAGGCATGAATTTCATTATGAGGGTTCTACCCTCATGACCTCAGCACCTATTAAAAGATCCCGCCTTCTAATACCGTCACGTTGAGTATTAGGATTTCAACATAAGAATTTTAGGGGGCGTGCATTTCAGATCACTGTACTGGTTCATACAGTCTTTAAAGGGTGATTGTAATTTTCTATAAGTTAAAAGTAGAACACACCAGATTCTAGCATATTAAAAATGGTATTTGGAAACAAATGGGATTTTTACTCTGCCCTTTTAAGACAATGAAGTTTTAATCAAAACTACAGAGGAGAGATTTAGGTTATGCAAAATTTAGTTGCTTGAATTGACATGGCCGTAATGTTGAGCTTGGAAGTGTTTGTCAGAAGAACTTAGACTATCCCACTGTGTGGATTTTTTGGGTATAATTTTGCTTTAAGTGGTGGCTTATTCACGTAACATGTGCAGAGGTGGAAGAAGTTTTTTCATCTATAGGTATGTTACTGTTAAAATGAATTAACAGATTTGCATACTAGTTAGGGATTTTGCTGGTGTTTGTGTAAGCTAGAGATAAGCTAAATCAACCTTTCTTTGGGTTAATGGGAGAAAAAGAAGTGTTGTGATTCTCATGGAAGACAAAAAGGGATTTCATCACATTGAATTTCCCTTTCAAATGAGTGAATATATGTGTTTATTTCTGGTTTAAGTTAAGCGTAGAGGTCCCCCCTTTTATTCTTGATGGTTTAGATCAGGGTCACCTAGTAAATATTAGGCTTTACAGGCCACAAATACCTCTTTCGCACATTCTTGTTCTTATAACTATAAAAATATAAAAACCATTTTTGGCTCCTGGGCCAACCCGTGGTTTGGATCATTTAATTTTGTTTTTATTATCTGATTTTATTAGTTTGCTAGGGTTACTATAACAAAGTATCAGAGTGGGTGATTTAAACAGTAGAAATTATTTCCTCACTGTTCTGGGGGGTGTTAGTCTGAGATCCAGGTATCAGAACAGTTGATTTCTTCTGAGGACACTCTGCCTGGCTTGCAAATGACTTTCTTCTGTGGCCTCTTCACAGGATCTTCCCTCTGTAACTCCTAATAATCTCTTATAAGGATGCCAGTCATTGCCTACCCTAAGGCCTCATTTTACCTTATCTTTTTAAAGACCCTCTTTCCAAATACACATTCTGAGGTATTGGAGGTTTAGAACTTCAATATATGAATTTGGGACATGATTCAGCCCCTAACAGTGTTACAAGTTTAGATTACTTAATGTAAATTCAACGAAAGAAAAAAGATTCTCCCCTGGTTCCAGTGTCCTTGATATGAACAGAAACTGAAGTGCTTATATACTTGGTTTTTGATAGAACCATTGTAATAATCAGGTCACCATTCATATGTTGCCCCCTCTATTACTATAGGTTCTTAATATGCAGCTTGACTTTAACAAACTGTAAACAGTATTGTTAAATATCTTCAGGTTATGTTGTTAAATGTGGCTACAAAAGCATGTTTACCAGAGTATTGAAGTAACTTTTTGTAAACATATTGGGAGAAGAATCCTCTCATTAATCAGATTATTTTTAGCGTTAATATATATTTTTTCTTTATACACACACACAGACACTTTTTTTTCCCCCAAACAGGAAAGGTTGGAAGAATACTACAATGAATCCTCACGAACCCATTATCCTACTTCAGCATTATCAGTCCAGGATCATTCTTGTTTTTTCTACCTACCCCTTTCTTCCCAATGGATTTTATTTTGAAGAAAATCCCAGACATGGTTCTTTAAAATAAGGAACATCTGCAATCTGGATACCTTTGGCAAAAGGCAACTCTTATTTACCAGAAAAACAATTTCTAAAACTTAGAATAAGGGGAGAGTTTATATAGCCCAAGTGATAGAGCACATGCTCAGCATACATGAGGTCCTGGGTTCAATCCCCAGTACCTCCTATAAAAATAAAGAAATACATAAACCTAATCCCCCCTCCAAACTAAATAAAAAAATAAATCATTCTTCTAAAACTTTAGAATAAATGACAAGTAGACAATCAGTCATAGCCAGATTTTTTGAGCTGTAGGTGTTGCATTCTTTGTTTTCTTGTGTCTTAATTGAATGGAAGAGGTTGGTTTTTTTTGGCTTTTTAAATTTTTTAATAATGCAATTTTACAGTTAGACTGGGTGGCTCTAAAGGAAGAAAGTATTCCATGCAAAAACCATGTAATATTATTTTATAGAAGAATTATGAATATAATCCCCATCTACTCATCTTCCAGATTAAACACTTACCAAACTTTTTTGTTTTGTCTATCCACATTTGCCACATTGCTTTATCTATTTTTTTCCTTAATTTAAAGCAAACCCCATGTACTTCTATTTTCATCGTGAATGGACTTTTTTCCCATAAAAACAATGCCCTTCACACTTAACAAAGCTAATAGTTTACATGTCATCTAATAATCTGTCCATATCCAGGTCTTTACAATTTCTGTATTTTTTTTACTTCTTTTTGGTTGTGGGAATATTAGTGTTCTTTATGTTCAGTTGCTTGAATCAAGAGGCAGAGCACATTTACACATTGCACTTGTTTGATAACTCTTATGTCTTTCTTAATCTAGAACAGTCTTCCCTCTTCTTTATGCCGTTGATTTAAAAAATATTATGAATTGTCTCTTCTTGTGGTGTCATTTAACTTGTTTCTTTCTTCATATTTCCTGTGGACTGGAATTAAGTTTACTGTGAAATACATCGTGTTGATCAAATCAGTAGCTGAATGTCTAGTTGTCCCATTTTTAATGATGCTAAGATCCTAAGTTTTTATCTACTGTTCATCTAATCATTGTTAATGGTCCCATCCATTGATGAACACTGCCAAATCAGTGTAAAGGTTGCAAAATAGTGATTTTTAAAATTTTTGCTCCTCACATTTTATTCCACACCAAAGCTGGAATTCTGTAAAGAAGTTTCCTTCATAAACTGGTCCTGTTTAATTATGAATAAAGACTCATAAAGGGAAAGGAGGATAAATGCCTAATTCTTTCTCTTTAATTGCCTGTTTGTAAAGAATTGAAACTATACTCTCTTCCATTGATCCAGAGTTATGGGTGGTTTGTATTATATTTTTAATCAATATAAACTCAGATTGTTTATTTTATTCAGTGTGCTTGGATCAGTTTGCAGTCATTCTTTCTGGTGCTCAGGTTGTCCTTGGTCAAGGAGAGGGAGACCCTAGTTGTTGCCTCCTGTTTTGACTGATCTCATGATTTTTAATACCTTCATTTGCACTAGGGATGTCTTGAGCTCAGTTATATTTTCCACTTTGAGGCTGAGGTGAACCATTTCACTATAGGAATTTATTTCCTTTTAGTTGAAAATAAATAGTATTTTGGCACTGGAGTGTTCATTGACCTATATTTTTATTGTTCGTGCTTTTTAAGAGATCTGTTTACTTAACTTTAAATGCCAAGTTTCATAAATTTTCAAATTAAAAAAATTTTTTTTCCTTTCCAGTTTATTGAGGTATAATTGACATACAGCAGCATTGCATACATTTTGGGGAGGTAATTAAGTTTGTTTATTTATATGGAGGTACTGGGGATTGAACCCAGGACCTTGTGCTTGGTAGGCATGTGTTCTACCACTAAGCTATACCCTCCCCTGCTAAAGTTTTAACTATATATTAAGTTAAACTCTGAACATGTTACCGCATTGAGAATACTGTTTTTGGCAAGAAAATGAACTAGAAATAATGTTTGGCATATTGGGACCTGACCTGTTCATAAAACTCCTTAATTGTTTATTAGCTATATATTAACATAACAACATTAGAAGTTGTGACTCTTAGTCCTCCTTAGGTTAGATGTTTTTTTCAAAGGCATTTTAAAATGTCCCCCTCCCTGTCCCTTTTTAAAATTTTTGTATATATACATTTTTTATTATAGTCAGTTTATAATGTCAGTTTCTTATGTACAGCTTAATGGTTCAGTCATACTTGAACATACATACATTTCTTTTCATATTCTCTTTCACCATAAGTTACTACAAGATACTGAATATAGTTCTCTCCCTTTTAAATCTGCCAGTAGATGCCTAAAGAAATAGCTTTTACTCTTGCTGATTGTTAGTATTTAGGCTTTGGAAATTGCCATCTATAATTTTTAACTAAAGATCTGATATCGGTGTTCTAGGGTAGAGTGTGACTAGTCAAGTTTATCAGTTGTGTAAAAATGTTAATGAGCATTTGGCTGCAACTTTGGAACTTGAAACTGTACTCCTTAGAGTTGGGAATTTCAGAGCTCAAAAACAAAACAGTTCCTTTCAGTGACTTAGTGTTTGAACTAATTTTTTAAAATTTTATTTTGAAGTTTAAGTTTACAGAAAAGTTGCAAAAATACAAAGAATTCCTGTATAGCCAATAACTTTGATTTTTAGACAAGCAGCACACGCTTATTTTTAAAAAATAATTGAAACAGTTGAGTGATGTGGTGCTACTTCTTTTCTGTCATCTTTCTGACTCATTCTTTAGAGGCAAATGCTGTTAATTTGTGTGTATGTTATTCTCCTTGGAATTTTTATGCATGTGTAAATATTAATCTAACAAGTCTTAAAGATGACAAAGAAAAATTTTAAAGTATTTACCGCATACAATCTTTATCGCCTGTTAACCAACCGTATTTGACCATATTTGCTTCTAGTGAATTTTTAGCTGTATCTAAAACATAATTTCAGTGGATGGATAGAAATATGGGCAGCTGACACTGAAGAATACAGGAGTCTGTTACAGGGGACAGGAGCTGATGAATAATAAGGAAAAAGCAACTATTCCAGGTTGCTTCTAGTATAGTGAATATTGGATGCAGATATAGATTAAAAGATGAGGCTGTAAAGAAGTTTAATTCTTTACCTAATGTCGTTGTTTAGAATCATAAAAGTTTCTTATGTAGTCAGCTGTAGGTGAGAACTTTTTTGAGGACAAATACTGCCATTTCTCATACTTCTTAATTCTTCCCTCAGTTCCTAGCATTGTAAGTAGAAATGTTGAATGCTGTATTTCAGTTGATGGTGCCATTAGTCCTTTCTTGATTTTCTGAGTTCTGTTAAGTTGAATTTTAGGAGCATGGCTCTAAAGGAGTAGCACATAGGTTTTGACAGGGCTACCTAAATGATTATTGAGCATTTTATTTCATTTTTAAAAAATCCTTCCTATGATGAAAATGTATCATGTTTTAACTTGAATGCAGCTTTTAGGGTAAAAATGTAGTTTCCATTTAAAATTGTGATAAACTGCCTCAAAATAATCAGTGTTCTGAGGGAGTACAGAAATAGGTTACTTACATGCTAAACTTTGGAGGTTATGTAAATATTCAGTTAGTGAATTCCAGCTTACCTTTGTCTAATTTTATCTCTTTGTAGGCAGCCTGCTTCTGCAAAGTGGTACGACCGAAGGGACTATGTCTTCATTGAATTTTGTGTTGAAGACAGTAAAGATGTTAATGTAAATTTTGAAAAATCCAAACTTACATTCAGGTAAATTACCATTTTACATTATTGGGTAAAAAGCTTGTGTCAAACAACTTGAATAACTTTGGCTTACTTGTTTTGTGTTTTCACTGAAGTTATTGTTAATCTTTACCTCTTTGAAGAGACTATTTTTCCCTTTTTTTTTTACAGTTGTCTTGGAGGAAGTGATAATTTTAAACATTTAAATGAAATTGATCTTTTTCACTGTATTGATCCAAATGTAAGTAGTCATTATGCTTTAATCCCAATTTTCTTAACAGTTCAGAGGCTAATTAGGTATTAAGTGTTTTGCATTATTTTCCCCTTCTAACTGCTTTTCTGCATTTTTTTTTCTTTCTTTGCGGGAATAGGGGTAGGGAATTAGATTTATTTACTTATTTATTCTTAGAGGAAGTAATTTTTTTAAGGCTTTGTTCACCTTGTGGTTTTGTTTTGTTTTTTGTTTTTTTTTGCAGTTGGATAGCTTATGAAATCCTTAGTAGTCTAGGGGGTGTTTCAGGGTTTAGAGAAAGTGTAGAGGAAGAAATTAGGAGAAGTGATGAATAATGAGTAACAAGCTCCTTTGAATCCTGTAGTGATATCAGAGAGAGAAATGCTGTGATGGTGCTTGTTTTTGTTTTTAGGATTCCAAGCATAAAAGAACGGACAGATCAATTTTATGTTGTTTACGAAAAGGAGAATCTGGCCAGTCATGGCCAAGGCTAACAAAAGAAAGGGCAAAGGTAGGTTTCTTTTTCTTTGTTTGAAAGTTTAATATGTTTAAGTAATAAAAAGTACATTTACATCAAACTAAAAAGTTTCTGCCCAGCAAAGGAAACAGTCAACAAAAGGAAAAGACAATGTACTGAATGGGAGAATATATTTGCAAATTATGTATCTGATAAGAGGTTAATATCCAAAATATATAAAGAATTCATACAACTGAACAACAGAACAACCCAGTTAAAAAACGGGCAAAAGATCTGAATAGACATTTTTCCAAAGAAGACATACAAATATGCAGGAGGCACATGAAAAGATGTTCAACATTACTAATTATTAGGGAAATACAAATCAAAACCATAATGAGATAATCTCTCCTTATATCTCTTAGAATGGCTAATATCAAAAAGACAAGAAATGACAAATGTTGAAGAGGATGTGGAGAAAAAAACCCTAGTACACTGATGTTGGGGTTGTAAATTAGTGTAGCCATTATGGAAAACGGTATAGAGATTCTTCAAAAAATTAATAATAGAACTACCATATCCAGCTATTCGACTTCTGGGTATTTATCTGAAGAATATGAGAACACTAATTGGGAAAGATACACATCACCCGTATGTTCATTGCAGCACTATTTATAATAACCAAAATATCCATTGATGGGTAATGCATAAGCTGTGGTGTATGTATTCAGTGGAATCCTACTCAGCCATTAGAAGAGAAATCTTGCCATTCTCGACAACATGAATGGAACTTGAGGGTAACATGCCAAGTGAAATAAGTCAAAAGGAAAAAAAATCTAATTTTAAATAATGTAGCAAATGAACAAACAAAACTAAAACAGGCTCATAGAGACGGAGAGCACATTGGTGGTTACCAAAGGGGAGGGCCTGGAAGGATGAGTGAAAGGAGTTATGGGAGGTCAATTGCATGGTGACAGTAAGTGAATTTGGAAGATGATCACTTTGTGGGTTACAGATACAATGTTGTACACCTGAAACTTTCATTTTTAAAAGTATATTAAAAACATTTGTTTAGTGTAAGGAATAACAGTGTTCTTGTTTCATATCTAGGTGCTATTAATATTATGGCCCTGTATTCTGCATATTTTTCTCTATTTTAAGATTTATTGGCATTAACTTAATATCAGGTGTGGTCAGAATAAGATCAGTCAGTAATTGATGCAGAATCTTCTGCATTCAAGAGTCAGACTTTGCTTAGAAGTATAAATTATTCAGGTGTCAGATCTGAGCACATCTTCGTGCCATTAAAAAATAATAATACATTAATCAAGTTTTGCTTTTAACAGCTGAGGAAAGCTTCATGAAACTATATTTATCAGTATTTCATTTTACTTCATGCTAATTTTTCTAGTGTAGTTTTTTGTGCTAATTCCATGCCTCACTAGTCAGTATGAACTCACAGTTCAGAAAATGTAGTCTTAAGATACAGGCCAAAGAGTACAGGATAACCTAATCATAGGGTGGTATTTGTATTGATCTATAGCTTAATTGGCTTAGTGTGGACTTCAATAATTGGAAAGACTGGGAAGATGATTCAGATGAAGACATGTCTAATTTTGATCGTTTCTCTGAGGTAAGTTCTTTTAAATTCATTCTTCCACCTCCCTCCCAGTATATTTTTGTGTAGTCAATTTAATTTGGTTTTAAAAACCTAGTGATAAATTTAAGCTATGCATTGTTTTACTGTAAGACCATTCTACAGTAAAACCAAGGAAGATCTTAACAGTGCTCATTTAACATTCTATCAATTTTTAAAAATTAGTGTTAAGTTCTAAAGTTGATTCATAAAGACAAAAAATAAACCATATAGTCAGTGCAACACAGCTAGTTTTTCTAGCATTGGAACAGATTTTTTTTTTAAGGAATATGAATATAGTAATTGGCTTGCATTTTAGAGCCATGTAATATAAATATACACAAGAATCATGGTAAGATGTGTATGATGAATGGTCTATAGGAATATTTTATTTGTTTTATTTCATTAGATGTTTTAACTATAGCTTATTATTAAATGTAGGGCTATTTTGGTTGCAAAATCAAGAACAGGGTTTTAAATTTTAAGAAGCTTGTTTTTCCACAATGTTATTGAAATACATGTTGCCATGGCCAAAGGAAAAAAATCATTGCTTTCTTTTAGGTAGACAAGATCTTCTCAAATGTGCTACAGTAAAGCTATTCAGGAAAGAGAACATTAGACTGTAAATAGAAGATAAATCTGTGAAATCTGTTTCTCATTGTGATTTGAAATTTTAATTGACTGTATACTTTTATATTCTTTGAAAACAAAGAGTTAAAAGGAGTAAGTTTCCAGTGTCATCTATGCAGCTTCTTACTTGACATCTCTCCTCATGTGGCTCTGGCACCTTGATTTCAAAAGAGAGAAGGGAGATAGGATATTCATGTGATT